GCCACTACTACTACCATTACCTCTCCTTCACCCCTGTCACTCCATTTACACTACCACTACCACAACTTCACTACTAATCTCTTTCACCATCACCATCACCATCTCACCATCACCATCATCTCTTATCCACCATATATTTTTTAACAAAAAATAAATTTTTTTGATGATGACAACCCCCGCCGCAAAAAAAAAAAAAAAATTAAACGACGTTATTTTATTATTTAAATTTCATTTGTGACTAAAAAAAATATATATATTTTTATTTTTTTTTCCTACCCCCTTTTTTTTTTCCATTCCCGCTCCTCCTTTTTTTTTTCCATCCCCCCCACCCCCCCAAAAAAAAACAAAAAAAATCCCCAATCTCAAACCCAAAAATCCTTAATCTCTTCTTACCCCCCTCGCTCTCTCTCTCTCTCTCTCTCGATCGATCGACGTCGAGCGGCGGAGGAGCAGCGTCGGAACAGCAGCAGCGTCGGCCTCCTCAACTTTACGCCTACATTTTTAATTCCTAATAGGCAGTTACAACATGCCCATGCAACTTTTGTGAGGGGATTCTTGAATCCAGTGAGTATTCTAACAGTTGTAGCATTTAAAAATTCATTACTTATATGCTTAGTTACACTGTTTTCACTATAACAAAAGTAACCTATGGTGACGAAAAGTAGTGAAGAAAATAAATTTCGTTACTAAATAAGAACAATTTGTGACGAATTATAAAATTTTGTCACATATAATAAAAAAATAAAAATAATAGGTGACGAAATTTATTTGCGTCAATAAATACTTCTTTTTAGGTGAGAAAAAAATTAAGTTTCGTCATTGAAACTTTGTTGCTTGATTAGAATATTTGTGGTTTATAAAAAAAATTGGATATTTTTGCTACATCAATTAGTTGTGTTGTTACTTATTTTGTGATTGATGTTATGAATTTTTTTGGGTTGGTTATGACATTTGTAATTTGTAAAAATTTTGATTATTTTTTATTATGGCAATTAGTGGTGCAGTTACGCATTTTGTAGTTGATGTTATTAAATTTTGTGAGTTGGTTATGACATTTGTGGTTTTTAAAATTTTTAGATGTTTTTATTATACCAATTAGTGGATAGTTACATAATTTTTGGTTAATGTTACGAAATTTTGGGAATTAGTTACGACATTTGTGATTTTCTATAATTTTAATCAATTTTGTTACGTCAATTAGTGATGGCGTTATGCATTTTGTGTTTTATATTACAAAACTTTGTGACTTGATTATGATATTTGTGGTTTTTAAAATTTTAAATATTTTTATTACACCAATTAATGGTGTGATTAGACATTTCGTAGTTGATGAGTAAAATAGTCCTTTTTATTAATTTTACTTAATAAAAATAGATGAAGGATTTATATTAAAAATAAACCAAATCAAACCAAGCCTTAAGTCCTATCAAATAGGGTCGGCTACATGAATCCTTCTTCTCCACACGGCCCTACCAAAGGCCATTTCGTTAGTCAAATTAAGTATATCCATATCTTTATTTACAACGCTAACCAACGTTAATCTAGGCCTACCAAATTCGTATGCACACTATTTTTTTCCCCAGAAAACATGAAAAATTTATTTGGCTAACTGTTTCCAAAATTTGTTTTTGGGAGAATTTTTTTGAAAACAACACACTTTTTAGGAAACATTCAAAACTGCTATTTTGAACTTTACATTGGTTTTGTTTTTGAGAACATGAAAAACAAAACTCAACCAAAAAAGTCCAACATTTGTTATCTGCAGAGACTCATTTCTCTCCCATTTACACTCTTCAGGATATGTTCTTGTTGCAGAGATCTTGACTAGCGATAATCTTGATCTGAACCTAACATTTCAATCCGAGCCACTAAAGATCCTGGTAATTAGCGATATATTGAGAGATGGACAGATCACTATAGACAGAAGACGAGGAAAATCTGTCAAAATATTGAAAAGTGTTGATCAAGTGACAGATTTGGAGAGGGATTTGGAAAGGGAAATAGAAAAGGTAGGTGAAATGTGAATAAAATATGTCTATATTTTACCTACTTTCACGCACCTTTTACCTTTTTCTTTCCAAATCCCTCCTCAAATCCCCTAACCAAAATATTACAAGCATTTTTCCAACGTATTTGGTGATAACGTGCAGTCTGCTGTGATGGGAAGCGTTGATGAGCAGAAAAGAATATGGAGTACCCCACATCAGGATCAGGTTGTAAGTTAAAATTCCTTGATAAGAAATCGACACTCACACGCATACACACTAATTTGATTTTTGACATATAATACTCTGTATTTTCTCTGTTCATATGAAACGCATTAAAAACTTTAACGAAGACTTTAAAATGGTAGATTTTCTGATTTTCTGCCCTTTTCTCATTGTGTTTTGGTTCAATTTTCTTGTTCTTCTTCTGTTCAAGGTACATACTTGAAGTTCCGTTTATCATCTGGAATTAAATTAAATGTAATTTTCTTAATTACATTAGGACCCTCCAATTATTAGTGAATTTCACCTTTCCCCTTATCTATGAACCTCTACATTTTGACCCCTGTAGAAGGGGACATTTGTTCCATTTCTTAAAAATATTGTGATAAAAATAAATACAAAAAGTTATTTTTAGTGAAAATCATATGAAAATAATGTGTTCTTGATTTTTTTTCACTAAACTAGTTTTTTTTTTTTTTCTTGATAAATAAAATTTATTACCAAAGAATCAAGAAGATGCTAAAGAATACAAGAGAACAAAGCCCCAAAAATAGGGGAATGTAACCAATAAAGTCATCTACAAAGTCCAAAAATGCCAAAAGATCCGGATTAGAAAAACCGAGACTCTAACTGAGCCACCGACTAAGCAATCCCCTAAAAAATTTGCCGATTTCCCTCTAACCAAAGCAACTATAATAAACACAAAAGAGCTAAAGCCCAAGCTCTCTTCCGCCTCTTCCTCCTCCCCCCTAACTGCAAAGAACCTCCATCACCTTCTTGGGCTAAACTAGTTTTTAAAAATATTTGAGCAACATATTTTGAAAATTCAAACAAAACATATTATTAAGGTAAATTACACTAACCTCCTTTGAGATTTAGAGAAAATATAGTAAGTCTCATAGTTTTGACATAATTATATTGAGCTCCATTGAGATTTTAATTAATATAACACTTAACCCCATTTTTCATCAATTTGTTAGTTATATAGATGAAAATATGATATTGTTATCTCTTTTATACGATAATATATATATTTTATGTTGTTTATTGACATGGATAGGCCCACAAGGCATACGGCCCACGGCAAACCACCCCGAACCCATCACTTGGGGCCAATGGCACAACCCGGTTGACAAGGCCCAGAACAGCTGGAGGCCACCTAGACATGAAGGGCCAACGGCATTTAGGCACACGGCAGGTGGGACACGGGCCACATCAGCAGACAAAGATCTGCAGAGTTATTATCACAACACATCACCATTAATGCGACCCATCACAGCATTTATTACAACAGCACTCCCCGCCGGAACAGAGCCTCCATCACCCTAAACAAGATGAGCTATGGCACAGGCTTTCGGCGAAAAAAAGCACGTCACAGGAGACAGGAAAAATGATGACAAAAGGATATAAGCAAGGATAAGAGGAAAGAAAAAGGTTAAGTTATCTCTCTCTTGATCTCTCGATATACAGTTTTTCATACTCTGCTCTACTAATTCTTGCACCGGAGGGTTCACTGGGGGACTGCCCCGTTCCCCCCTGAACTTGCATGCAGGTCATCTGACGGAGTCTCCTTCTTGAGCCGGAGCCTGAAGAGCCTGGGCCGGTCCGACCCATCCACCCGGGAACCGATACCTCATCATTTATTTTATATGTTTTTGTACCATCTGGATTAGTTTCAATCTATTTAACTTACTAAAATAGAGAACGGTCAGTGTAATTTACCCTATTATTAAACTAAACAAAGATAAGAGAACAAATATTTGAAATGGTTGGTAATAGCGATTGCATCGGTTAAACTTGTAAACAACAATGGAGAAAGAGAACTAGTTTGTATTATGTCTTTCTTGTACAATTTTTTTTTTTTTTTGGAATTTGCTGAAGTTAGTAGTTAGATCACACCCTTCTTTTACAAGCAATTAAAACTTGCCTTCCAATTTCACTTGAAATCCAAGATCTCCCCTTAAGAGAAATTTGGTGGTTAAAGAACTAGCCATACAGACTACAATTCCTTTGTTCCTTTCTTGTACATTAATACCAACAAAGCATACCAGACACCAGTTGACCTTTGTGGCTTTGGTTTGTTTTTCAATTTTTTTTTTTTTTTTTTTTTGAAAAATGTGTTGGATTTAAAAATTTTAAGTGAACACATTTTCATATAATCAATCATTAAGAAACTAAAATAAATAGAGTTAAACTTGGAAAGTTAGTAAATTAATACCCATTAAAGTTCAAAAACGAAAAGGTTTTTGGTTGTGACCTATCCATCATGGACATTTCTAATTAGTCGGTGTAACTGTGTCCAATATGTAGACACGTTGGGACACATGTAGGAAATGCCACAACGCGTATCTATTTTGCTTATTTATTTATTTTATTTTTTCTTCTAGGACGCTTTGGATGTACATCATAGACACACGCCACGTCTCCAAATATGTTTTAAGAGATACGTTTGACTTGTGATTATTTATTTTTGATGGATGATCTACTTTCATTATTAAATGTTTTCGACAAGCTAGATAATATTTTGTATGTTGAATGATTTATAAATAGAGCAATTTTTTCATGTAAAATGAGCTAGTTTTTCATTATTTTTAATTATTTGTTATTGTTGTAATATTCATATACATTGCAAATAAAAATTTATAAATAACATATTTTTGATGTATCTTCACCGTGTCTGTGTCCTAATTTTTTGAAATTGCAGTTTCCTACATGCCTGTCTATATCTATATTTGTACTTTCAAAGTTGGGGTTCTAACTCGAACTTTAAAAGTTGTTAGAACAATGAACAAGCAAATCAAAAAGAGAAAATTATGATGATCAATAAAAGAAGTGAAATGGTTTATTCACAATCTCCATCATGGCTCATACCTTTGTTATTACAGAACATGCTCAAGCTCAAAAGATTCAAAACCAAAAATAGTGAAATTTCTCTACAAATTCTGAACCCCCATTTCGCTCTCTTCTCTTGATTTGGCTTCTTTGCCTCTCATCGCGTAGGAATTGACCCACCAGCGGCTAGAATTTGCTGCTCGAGCTACAACAATGAAAATGAAATAGAAAACGTTTCTATGACGTGGAAGATGATCAATTTGGCTTTACAACACAAACACATGTTTTGCTAATTACTTACTTTGAACAGAGTTTGAAGCTTGTTCTTCACAAGGGTGTACTCAATCCTTACTTGTTGGAGACATTTTCGGCACCTGCAATATTAACAAAATGTGGGTTGTTTTAAGAATTTCTTTCTCTTCCAAAAACAGGTTTCGAAAATAATTCCCTAAAAAACTTCCTGTATTTTAGGGAAAAAAAGAAAAAAGAAAAAAGCACAATTTGAAATTCTTCTATGTTTGGTAGACGCTAAAAAAAAGGGGGATTTTTTTTAAGGTCCCTGATATTAAGAATTTATAGCATAAAGGACACTCAATATTTTCATAATGTCTAAGGTCCTTCAACATCAATCCAGAGAAAATTCGATCCAGAGAAAATTCGGTTCAGAGAATTTCTCTGGAAAATCCAGATAAATTCTCTCCAGACATCCAGAGAAATTCTCTTTATCCAGAGAAAATTCAGATAGTCCAGAAAAAATTTAGACATCCAGAGAAAATTCAGATAGTTCAGAGAAAATTCACAAAATCCAAGAAACTCTGCATCATCATGCATTTTATATGTTCTCTTACAAATATCTTTTCATGAAGAGTTGCTATCAAAATTCTGTTTGCTAATCCTAGTGCTTTTTGTAGATCAAGTCCAACAAGATGAGGTGGTTGACAGTAAGATCTTGCAATACCCTAGCATAGACAAGAAAGAAAAGAAGTCATTCCCTAGACTTCCAGAGAAAATTCAACTTCAAAGAGAAAATTAGTCCAGAGAAATTCTGGGAAGAATTTCTCTGGACTTTTCAATTTCTCTAACATTCCCTAGATTCCCACTGTAAATTTCTCTGGCCTTCCATTCTCTCCAGAGAAATTTCCATTCTCTCTAGAGAAATTGTAATGTGCTTCATCTTGTTTGAATATGCTATATTGTTGATATTGATTCAGAAATTCTACAATTGTTTGGGAAATTCCTATCATTTTCTTTGAATGAATTCAATAAATTTTTGTTGTACTTATCTACAAATTTTCCAGGGTATATCTATCCTTACCTAATTCCAAATTTCTCTGGACTTCTTTTCAAATTTATCTGGACTTCCCACTGTCCAGAGAAATTCTCACCAAATTTCTCTGGATTTCCCACTTTAATTTCTTTGGACAAAGTAAGTTCAAGTCTCATCTTACCCTAAACTCTCTCTCACTCTCTAATATTTTTTCTTTGGATATATGGTTGTAGAAGAAGCTTCTGATTCTCCAAATTTCTCATAGCCATTATTGGTCATTCAAAATCAAAGAATTTCTCTAGTTACCTACCAGGAAATATTTCTTGGTTATCTAAACTTCTTTATTATTGGTCATTCAAAATCAAACCAAACCAGAGAAATTTGGGCTACCTAGAAACAAAAAAAAATCATAATTTTCTCTGTGTTTTGAACAAATTAGAGAAAATTGTAATTGTTTTTCTCTATGATTATTTTTCTAAGAAACATTTTATCAAACAAGTTAGCTTCAAAGCTCATAGCTATATGTTTTATAGTTCTAAAAAGAGTTTTGTCAAACCAAATCTCAATCGAAAGAGTCCATAGCTTGTTTCTCTGCAAATCAGCTCCATGGCATCAAGAGAGGAGGATACACGAACATGATTACAGAGAGCTGTACACGGGCTCTCTCTCTCGGCTTAGAGAGAGAAAGGAGAGAGTACACAGCAATGAGAGACCCACACACCTAGACCATGCATGAGGGACGGGATGGAGAGGGCAACACAAAGAACGACCAGCTTCTCTTTCTATAATGGAGACATGCATACGGCAGACCAGCTTGTTGCTCGGACTCAGGACAACGTGGATGGAGAGGGGATGGGGTGAGGGACCTTAGACTACAAAAGAACAGATTGTGGACTTAATCCATTACTAAAAGTTTGATAGGGACCTTAGACCGATTTTCCCTAAAAAAAACTATGTATATATATATATATATTTGTTTCACTAGTTTTTTTTTTTTTTAAATTTGTCAATTTTTTTTCTTCTTTTCTTTTCAAGTCCTAAAAATTAATTTCTACATAAAAAAAATTACTAAAGAACCAAAAAAGATTAAATTTTTTTTTTTGAATGTTTTCAATAATTCTTTAGAACAAAATAATTGTTAAAATACTAATTGCCAAACCAATCCTTAAGTCTAGTGGCAAGGACAAAAAAATTCAAACATTAGTGATTCACAATTTTCAATATAATTAAAAATAAATTATTTCTAAACATATTTTAAATTTTTTTCATCTCATAAAAAAATTTTAAAAGTTACTAAAAAGAGAATTCCCAAAAGGACCTTAGGGGTTTGTGAAGAAACTCACTCTTCAATATTGTGATCCTCACAGTAGTTGCGGAAGAAAATGCAGAGCTTTTGAACTCTTTGTGCTCCAATGCTGTCGTGCCACACCAACAAAAAACAAAAAAAACAAAAAAAAAAATTAAATATATATATATATATATATATTCACCAAGTTATTCTATCATTTCACTCCAGAGCTTCCTTACATCAGAAAAATTACAATGAAATTTACCAATATGCCCTTGAGATCTCAGTTTATTATTATTATTATTATTATTATTATTATTATTATTATTATTATGTTCGGGTAGATGACAATTTACATCATATCTTGAGAACTATAATAAGACATTCAATTATATAAGAAAGTCCAACAAATAGCCATAAGCGTACAACGAGTTCAATAATCACAATGTTCATTCGCTCATGAAAGTTAAACTAAAAACCTCAACAGGTTTGTAATAGTGTTAGCTAATCAGTGGAAGAGAGAATAAGGACATGAAGATGCATTTGCAACAATAAGACTCGAGCTCAAGTATGGCACTAGATAAGGCAGCATTTTCATCTATTAGGTCTATTTTTGGTATGGACAGGGGAGTTTACGTTCAGGAGTGATCAAAATTTTAAACCTGCACTTGGGGCCATATGTAGTAAAGAAAATTTTGAAACTAAGATTGTTAAGGGATCTGGGAAAGGATTTGGAAACAGAAAGGGAAACACTATGTGAAATTAAGTGAAATATAGATACATTTTATTTATATTTTACTTACATTTTTCCTTTCCGTTTATAAATTCCTTCCTAAATTTCTTAACCAAACACAATGTAAATGTTGTATTTTGTTCATTGAAAATCATTTTTTGATAATAGGAAATAAAACCAATGATTTGAATTAGAAAACTATAAAGAATTTACATGGTGAGCAATGATTTTCTAAAAGTTTGTCTTGTCATTAATTTTAGAGTCTTAAGACAAGTTGAGATAAGCAGAAGATGACCCGGATACCAGTGATAACAAAGAAAAGAAAAAAGTATTTACCTAGAGCTACTACCCTTCAATTGGTGAACATGGGCATCCACCTTTGTGAAATCTACACTCTGTTGATCCCTACAAATGAGAAGAGGGAGAAAACATTATCACCAACTTTTCATTTTTTTCTTAATTTTTTTATTTTTTTTGCAAAAATATAGTTTTCAAAAAAATTAAAATGCCTTTTAATGTTTCCTAGAATGTTGGTTGTTTTAGAAAATTTTCTTGAAAATTATTTTCGAAACTAGTTTTCCAAATAGGTTTTCTGTATTAAAAATTAAAAAAAAAATTAAAAAAACCTAGAAAATGAAAGCATAACCAAACACAACCTTTGACGTTTGGAATCTTTACATTTTTTTCGTTTTAGTTTTTAGGGAGAAAAAAAAAACAATAAAAACTTACAATTTTTGAAAATTCCAAAACATCGTGTTTACATTATTTTTAGAAATTTTTTCTAAAAACAAATATACAAAATAGTTTGCTAAACTAGTTTGTGTAAAACCAAAAATAAATAAATAAATAAATAAAAAGAAAACAAGTCCACAAAAGAAAAGAGAAAAAAAAGAAAGAAGAAAGAAATATGATAAAAACAAAGAATGAAAAAGTAAAAGAAAACAGTTGAGTACTCACAAAGCTGTGGTTACTTCATTGAGAAGCCTCTGAGAATCTTCAAAGAAGAGAGATACAACTTCAACCACAAACTCTGGATTGCTCTCATCTTGCAGTTGTTGAAGTTGAGTGAACTGTTCATCCAAAATACCCTTTTCATACACAACAAACTCGTCATCAAATGCCAACCCAACCACCCAAAACATTACACACAAATATACACATAACCACATATATAAACAGTAACAAATATCAGTATCAGCCATATAGTCATATATTAATCGATATTGGACATTACCAACTAGTAAAAGTCCAAAATCCCGATTTGTATCAGTTGAACACAACAAACTCACAATCAAATGGCGACCCAACAACCCAAAACATGAGACACACACATATAGAAGCAGTATCAGATCGATACATGTCAGCATCGACGAAATATATGATCATATAACATTGGACATTATCGACCTATGAAAGTCCAAAATCAAAAATTGATTTGCATCGGCTTATATTTAAAATTTGAGAAATAAAAGAGCAAAAATAGGCGCGGGGGGGTTGGGATTGTGAGATTTGCTTTTATGCTTCTAAAAATGTGGGTGGTGATAGGTTAGAAATACCTCATTGTACAAGGAAGTTGTGTAGTCAGCCAACTGTCTTTGCAACTGAACCACACTATCCATTGTATAGCTCTCTGATGAGTCTCTCAAGCTCTTTATCTTTTATCAATTTGAAGATCTTTATATAGAGCGGTTGTTTGGCATGGGTTAAAATAGCTCATATTATTTTAACACATTATTCTATTTAAGTTACAATTATTTTATTTAAATCATATCATATTTTTATCATATCACTTCAAATTTAATTTATATTTTATATTTTTTTCTAAAATATAAAAAAAAATATACCGATTTAGCCCTTCTCAAACAAATCCATAGTTTCAATTCATAGAGTTCATTCAGAGCCTATTTCACTATTTCCTTGAAAAAGTTCAATGGATTATATATATATATATATAATAGACTCATATACCGTTTGGGAAGAAGTTGGTTGGGCTTTTTTAGCTATTTTAGCCACAAAAAACAAAATAGGCTATTTTAGCCATAACAAACAAAACATCACATCCAACCCATAATCATTACACTCTTCTCTCACAAAAAAAGTCAAAAAGCCAAAAAGTCAAAAAGCCCTTCCCAAACCAAGCTTTTTAGCCCGGGCTAAAATAGCAAAAAAAGCCAAAAAACCAAAAAGCCAACCCACTTCCCAAACGGAGGCATAGTGTGTGTACATAATATAACAGTTGCCCTCCTTTTTTATTTTTTTTTTATTTTTCCCACTTCTATTTTAAATATGACTTAATTTTTGATGAAAAAAAAAGTACAAAAATAATAAAGAAATGATATGATCTAAATAAACTAATAACCTAATAAATTATTTATTTTTATTGCTACCAAAAGGTAAATATCCCTTTGCTTCCTCTAAGAGTATCAACCATGATTTTAATAATAGTATCTGAGATGCATCGGTATCAATTATTGTGTAGTAACATTAAAAATAACAAGTAATATATGTCTCAAAATAAAGTATCACAATTTTAAATTTTTTTAAATTATATGTTTGTAAAAATAAAAACTTGTCAAATTAATACGCATCAAACAAGTTAATATGTATAATATGTATATAATTTTTAATGCAACTATTATATCGTGATGTATCAATATTAGAAGAATAAAAACCCAATAAATTAATACATACCATATCGTTTAGTATGTAAAGTTAAAAAAAATTACTATTAATATTAGTATTTAAAGTTTAAAAAAATTAATATTAATACTCTATTCTATTCAGAGTTTAACAACATTTATTTTAAAAATATTAAATAATTTTTTTATTAAAATCCATCTCTCTTGGAGCAGTTTAAAACTCCGAACTCTAAAAGCTGTCACAAGATCCAAAATTTGATGACATGCACCACTCATCCTCTCCCATCTTTTTCAATGATCCAAAATTTGATGACATGCACCACTCATCCTCTCCCATCTTTTTCAATAATTATTTCACACTCTCTCTCTCTCTCTCTCGCATATATTTTCATACTATTCTATTTTGAGCTATGGATTTTGTCTTGTTTTTGCTGTTCAAGGTGCTAAGTTGTCAGTGGGGGCATGAGCATGACGTTACTATATAATGCATGCTAAACTTACAGTTTGGGTGACATAGAAGTGACTTAACATCACGTTCCATCTTTATCTCTTAGATTTTTTTTTTTTTGTTTTTCGAGTAGGTAGATCCTACCTATATGTTGCAAGGTAAAAATGGATATGATATGATATGCCATGAAATTAAAAAGCTGTGTGTTAAGTCCCTTAGACATGTCAATTTCGTGAATAAATATATTCTTATCGAGTGATAATTTTTTTAAATTTGTTGTCTTGCTCGCTTGAGCGAAAGCTGATTCTGTAAAAAATTTGAAAAGGATGATTGTACGCTCGTGCGCAAGTAGCGTTGCTCGAACGAAGCCACTTAAGGAAAACACGCGTATTTGGTTCCTCGCTCGAGCGAGAGAGTCTTCGCTCGAGCGAGCTTCGCTGCCTTTATTTTCTATAAGTACTTGTTTTAGTCCAAAACTAGGATTACGTTTTAGAGATCCACTTTAAAGTTGTTAGGGTTTTCTTTTGGGATTGTTTATTAGTTTTCCTTGATGATTTGATTGAGTATTAAACTCATGTTTTGATAAATACACATCAAGGAGGTTGATTGTTCATATTCAAGAGTGTTCTTCTTCGGTGGAATCCGGAGATTCAAGCGTGGAGTTTCAAAGGAGTTTGATACTGTGCGTGGTCGTTGATTTGACAAATAGAAGCTGTGGATTTAACTTCAATCTAATCAATCCTGGGACGAAAGTTGCAATGAAAGATATACAGAAGATTTGAAGACAAATTAGAAGCGTTTGGGTAATTTGTTTGTTATCTTTGTAATCTTTCTTTCTTCAGTAGTGGATTGATTAGTGGAATTTTGCTTGTGATTTTTTTATCACAATTGAAGGTACTTCAATTATGGTTTTTCTACGGAAAAATCGTTTGTGTCGTTTTATTGTTTTTAGAAAACAACAATCTAAATCACTTTCGTAAGTGCTTGATGATTTAGATTGTGAGTTTTAATTGATTGGGAATTGGAATAATTATATCTTGATCTAATCACGAATCACTTAGGTTTTTCAATTGGTATCAGAGCAGGCCACTCTTTGTTTTTATCAAAACTATAGGAGCGTGATTTTGTGTGATTGGTGATATGGATTCAATTCGTGAAGGTAACTCGACCCATAGACCTCCGTTATTTGATGGTACAAACTATTCTTATTGGAAAGCTCGTATGAGAGTATTTTTAAAATCTATCGATGAGAAAGTTTGGCACTGTGTGGTCTATGGGTGGAGTGAACCTATTGTCACCATTGATGGTGTTGATATTCACAAATCCCTTGATAAATGGGACACATTCGATTATCAAAACTCGAGTTGGAACAGTAAGGCCCTCAATTCCCTTTTTTGCTCCGTCACACCTGAAGAGTTTCGTCGTATTTGTACGTGTGAGGTAGCAAAAGAGGCTTGAGACATTCTTGAAACGATTCACGAGGGTACTACTTCTGTTAAAAGGTCAAAACTTCAATGTCTCACCTCTTCCTTTGAAACCCTTTTTATGCGTGATGATGAGACGTTTGATGATTTCTATGCTAAACTTAATGACATCGTGAATTCCTGCTTCACACTTGGTGAAAAAATCCCTGAAGCTAAGGTTGTTGGAAAAATTTTGAGGTCTTTACCCGAGAGGTTCCAATCAAAAGTGACAGCTATTGAGGAGGCTTAGAATGTTGATACCCTCAAGCCTGATCAATTGGTTGGAAACTTGCAGACTTATGAAGCCCACCAAATTTCTAAGAAAAAATAAAAAAATAGTGTGGCTTTCACTAGTGCTCATGAGACTGCAAAAACTTCTGAAACTGAGTTTGATCTAGAGTCCGAGATGACAGCTATGTTTACTAAACAGTTCAAAAAAATTTAAGAAAAAAAAGCCTAATTTCGGAGACCCTATTTCAAAAGACAAGAGTAATGATAAACCCAAAACTTTTCCACCAAAACTTGCTCAAAAATTTGAAAAGATGATGGTAAATAGGCAAGGGGTCAAGTGCTATGAATGTCAAGGGTTTGGACATATTGCTCTTGAATGTCCATCAAAAAAAAATTGAAAGAAAGTCTATACAGTGACTTGGGATGATAAGCCTAATTTCAGAGACCCTATTTCAAAAGACAAGAGTAATGATAAACCCAAAACTTTTCCACCAAAACTTGCTCAAAAATTTGAAAAAATGATGGTAAATGGGCAAGGGGTCAAGTGCTATGAATGTCAAGGGTTTGGACATATTGCTCTTGAATGTCCATCAAAAAAAAATTGAAAGAAAGTCTATACAGTGACTTGGGATGATGAAAGCGGGTCAGAGCAAGAACTTGAAGAAACTGAATCCGGTGAAGACGGGGATAGTGCATTCATGGCATTCTGGTCCACTTTCACTCAACCTCTTCTGAAGCTAGTGAAATTTGCTCATGGTCAGAATCTGCATCGTTCTCCCACCTTTGATGGGAGTAATTACTTGTATTGGAAGATCAGAATGAGGGCGTTTCTGAGAGCTTTTGACCCAGAAGACTGGCAAGCCATTGAAGAGGATGTTGAAAGTGCTGACAATCCGAGCAATCAGAGAGTTCTGTTTACTATTTGTGAAACAATTTCTAATGAAGAACAACAATAGGTTGCTCACTACACAAAGGCCAAAGATGCATGGGACATTCTAAGCCAATTTCATGAAAGAGGAGAGTCAAGTTCATCACCATCTATCACCTTTCCTGCCTTAGTTGCTCGACTAGGTGAGGTCAAGGAGAAAGAGAAGCAAAAAGAAGATGATGAAATATCAAAAGACAATGATGAGATTGATGGTGATGATCTACAACAAGCTTATGAAAAGCTTTATGATGAATCTCTGAATTTGTCCAAGATCAATGACAAACTCACTCTCAAGCTCAAAGCATGTGAAAACGAGAATGCCAAGCTGAAAGGAGAACTTGTAACAGCAAAGCAAAATGTCATCAAGATCTCTAGTGACAGGCAAGGCCTATGTGGGAAACTTCTATCTTGTGAGACTGAAAGGAATGAACTCCTGAAAATGTATTCCACATATGAAGAGAAGATCAAAAGCCTTGAGATGTCACAAGCTACATTGGAAGAGATGGCTTGTCATAAAGATGAAGAACTCAGAATTGTTAGAGCCACAATTGCCATATGGAACAAAGGTTCCAAATCATTAGAAGACATCCTCAGGCTTCAATAAATGGGTTGTGACAAAAGTGGGCTAGGTTATTGTAATGAGACAGCTCACAAGGGACAGGCCCTTACATCACATGACCTGAAGACTCAAGCAAAGGGAAAGCTGAAGGTGTACCAGGGTGATTTCTCTCTTCATGTACCTAACGGGGGTAAGATCAACAAAATGGAGGTAAAATCTGTTTTTGTTTGTCATCATTGTGGTAGGTATGGCCACATTCGTCCTTATTGCTTTGAATTGTTTGGTAAGGTGTCTCAAAAGGGTAAAAATTCTAATACTTTTTGGGTTAGGAGACAACCTTACATGTCTAGGCAGAACACCAAGATACATGAGGGTTCACAACGCTAAGACATTTACCAAGACTGCCAGTCCTGATTTTGTTAAGACCAAAAAGATATA